AATGAAGACCGTCATGAACTGGATTGTAGATTGTCTAAGGAGTTTAGACATAGCAATTGTGTTGCTACATTGTTCATGAGTACTTAGAAAATGGAGATTTGAGTATTGGATAAACCCACGCTCATAGAATTACTTCATGGATTCTATCACGAGTAATTTTGAGACGATAATATCTTATATTCTTGAAATGGAGATATATGAGTTGTAATTTACAAGTCGACTGTGCACTGGTATTGCAAAAACGCATTAGTAACATGATGTTATAAAACGTAGTATCATGCATGATTTGGTGAGTAAAAGATACAAGCATATGAGTCAAAGTTTATTCGTTCTATTTTCCCTAACGAGAAAAGCGATATCTTTAGGCCCCTCGATGATTTATTGTCGAATTCTGAAGTGTTTGGCCGAGCTTGGACATAATTGATGTGTTCAGTTAGTATTCTAAATTCAATCGTCATAAATCGGGAAATCAGGAAACATAATTTTTGATAATGAGATTGATTTTGATCCATGTCTAATGTCTATATGATATCTAGAAGAACGGAGGAATATTTGATCGCTTATCTAAAGGACAAATATCTGATCGGATCAGATTTCGACAGTTGCTTTGGAAAACACCCTTTGCTATTTAATTTAGAAGTTATACATGTAATTTAGTTTTAGACTTATCTAAGCAGGAGACTGTTGGATTAAGTGTCTAAGCCAATAACTAAATTAGTATAATCTTGAAATATTAGCAAAGTCCTTTTGGGTTGCCCTCAAACCTAATAATTGGCTGGAATGCTTTTTGGAGAGAGATTGATTTATTAATTTATTATATGGTTAATGAATTAATTAGAAATCAAAATAAACAATTTATTAATATATTATGAGAATAATATGTTAATTAGAAACAATATTATTTAATTAAGAATTAATCATAAATTAATTGGAATTAATTTTGGGATTAGTTGGAATAATTAAAAGTGGAAGGACTAAAGGTGACAATGTTCAAAAGTTGAACATTGATCAATTCTAGAACCTAACATAAGAGGGGAACGAATTCTAGATGGTTAATGGAGATTTTCTTGGGCATTAAGGAAGCCTAGGAATCCTTAGGGAGCAAGAAAATGGATAATGGCTTATCTAAGGAAATTGTCTTATCCTTAGTCTCCCTATCACCTATATAAACCCCTTTGGGTTATGATTTTTGAAATTCACCTCATTCTAAAGAGAATTTCAAAAATTCCATTCCTCCTCCTCTCTCCTCTTTAGCCTCCAACTTGCTAGGGTTTGGGTGTGAGCCATTAGAGACACGAGATTTCTGGTGCTTTCTTTATGAAGCTAGATCAAGAAGGAATCATTGTTTATTTACTACAATAAATAAAAGGTATGTAATTTCTATAAGTCTTTGATAATTTTGAAAATAGCTTCTTACTTTTAGGGTTCTTGATGTTCAATTGTTTGTTGCAAATCATAGTGAGAACATAGATCATGTAGGGTGCATGTGAACTTAGGGTTTATGTTTTTCCGTCAAAAATAAAATTTTGTAACATATAAAACCCATCACCTCCAGGTACGCCCAACGTTCCAGAGCTAAATCCCCATTTCTCCATTAAACTCTTATTTTCATTAATCCAAAGCAACAAACTTCATATCCAGGTAAAAAGGAACGTCTTAATGGATAAAGTCTCCGACTTTATCCATTTGCATGCATACAAGAGGGTAAAACTCAAACCCTTTGTCCAAAAATCATCTAAAGTCCCAAAACTATTGCATGGCTTAACGAGAATGCCAAAGCTCTCATTTTTATGAATTTATGAGCTCAAAACTTCAGATAACTACATTTCAAGGATCTAGAGTAGCTCATACTCCACTAGAACAAACTTTGGGACCAAAAGTGTACACAAACTCTAGACTAGCAAGATCTAAGCAAATAACTCATCAAGATCTGAACTTTATACCTCCAAATGATGCTTGAGGGTGAGGTACTTCTGGATCTAAGTGGTCTTGAGCTTCCAAGATGATTTCCCTTCCTTCAAGAACACCAAAAATGCACTCTCAAACTCAAAATGCTCACACAATGGATTAGGGTTGCAAGGGACGATGTGTGATATGGAGGCTGATGAGGGAAAAGGTCTTGAAAAGTTAACGATGTTTAAATAGGGCTCAAACCCTAAGAATTAGGGTTTGGACATCCGTCGTGTACACCTGGCGTACTTGTGAGTACGCCCAACGTACTCACCTGAATGCACATTTTTCACTTGATGAGCCAAAGGACCAATTTTTCAATTAAATTTCATACTAAGGGTATCAATGGAAAATATTTTGATCAAGGTCTTACAAGGCGTAAGAGTAAATGACATGGTAGCCATCGAATTTTCGATTTTTGATTTGAATGGTCTCTAAACTATTTTTCTAATTTGACATGTTTATATAAATCCATGTATTTTTCATTTATACCTTTACTATGAAATTGAATTCCAAAATTGGTCCTTTGGCTCATTAAGTGAAAAATATGCATTCAGGTGAGTACGTTGGGCGTACTCACGAGAACGTCGGGTGTACGTGACGGATGCCGAAACCCTAATTTTTAGGGTTCGAGCCCTATTTAAACATCATTAACTTTTAAAGACCTTTTCCCTCATCAATCTCCATCTCTCAAATCGTCCATTGCAAACCCTAATCCATTGTGTGAGCATTTTGAGTTTGAGAGTGCATTTTTGGTGTTCTTGAAGGAAGAATAAGGAAGGGAAATCATCTTGGAAGCTGAAGATCACTTAGATCCAGAAGTACCTCACCCTCAAGCATCATTTGGAGGTACAAAGTTCAGATATTGATGAGTTATTTGCTTAGATCTTTATAGTCTAGAGTTTGTGTACACTTTTGGTCCCATAGTTTGGTCTAGTGGAGTATGAGCTACTCCAGGTACTTGAAATGTAGTTATCTGAAGTTTTGAGCTCATAAATTCAAAAAAAAAGAAGAGAGATTTGGCATTCTCATTAAGCCATGCAATAGTTTTGGAACTTTAGATGATTTTTGGACAAAGGGTTTGAGTTTTTACCCTCTTATATGCATGCAAATGGATAAAGTCGGAGACTTTATCCATTAAGACGTTCCTTTTTACCTGGATCTGAAGTTTGGTGCTTTGGCTTAATGAAATAATAACTTAATGGAGAAATAGGGATTTAGCTCTAGAACGCTGGGCGTACCTGGAGGTGATGGGTTTTATATGTTACAAAATTTTATTTTTGACAGAAAAACATAAACCCTAAGTTCACATGCACATAAAGGATCTATGTCTCACTATGATTTGCAACAAACAATTGAACATCAAGAACCCTAAAAGTAAGAATCTATTTTCGAAATTATCAAAGAGTTATAGAAACTATATACCTTTTGTTTATTGTAGTAAATAAACAATGATTCCTTCTTGATCTAGCTTCAAAAAGCAAGCACCAAAAAATCTCGTGTCTCTAATGGCTCACACCCAAACCCTAACAAGTTGGAGGCTAAAGAGGAGAGAGGAGGAGGAATGGAACTTTTGAAATTCTCTTTAGAATGAGGTGGATTTCAAAAATCATAACTCAAGGGGGTTTATATAGGTGATATGAAGGCTAATGATAAGGCAATTTCCTTAGATAAGCCATTATCTATTTTCTTGCTCCATAAGGATTCCTAGGCTTCCTTAATGCCCAAGACAATCTCCATTAACCATCTAGGATTCGTTCCCTTCTTATGGTAGATTCTAGAATTGATCAATGTTCAACTTTTGAACATTGTCACCTTTAGTCCTTCCACTTTTAATTATTTCAATTAATCCCAAAATTAATTCCAATTAATTTATGATTAATTCTTAATTAAATAATATTTTTTCTAATTAACATATTATTATCATATTATATTAATAAATTATTTATTTTGATTTCTAATTAATTTATTAACCATATAATAAATTAATAAATCAATCTCTCTCCAAAAAACATTCCGGTCAATTACTAGGTTTGATGACAACTCAAAAGGACTTTGCTAATATTTCAATATTATACTAATTTAGTTATTGGCTTAGATATATAATCCAACAGTCTCCCACTTAGTGAAGTATGTTGAATGAAAATCGTGTTCTCGAGTTTCATTAATGGAAGGAAAGTGAGGGGATAGAAATGATTTTGGAGCCATATTTTTTCTTTCCAAAATTTCCTCATAAATTGGGCGGATTTAGGAAGAAAGTGAGGGGAATAAAAAATTTAAGTTTTATTTTCTTTTTTCTCCTAATTCGGGACCACAAAAACTTAAAATTTTCCTTTTATTTTCTTCGAACTCGGGAATACGGAATAATAATGAATATTTTCATTTCCCTCGATTTCTTTCTCTCAGAATTTTTCTTCAATTTCCTTTATTGAATTTACAAAAAAAAAAAAATAAATAAAAAATTAATAATAATATTGAATATTTGTAAAGAAGCGTACATAAATGACATTTTTTTTATCGTTTTAATATTGGGTTGTGCTATAAGTACCCCCCTTAATCAATTCTACCCCCCCTAACATCAATCAAATCAACTTTTTACTTTTGATTTGACATTAGTTTTTTTTTTCTTTTTTTTTTCCTTTTTGTTTTTGATTTTTTTTCTTTTATTTTATATTTTAATATTATTACTATTAAATTCGGATGACATTTTAAAATTCGGTAAACATTATAAATTCGCACGACATTATAAAATTCGAACGACTTTTTTGTCCGTAATTAAAAAATATAAAAAAAATATTTAAAAATCGATTTTATATAGCCGTTTGAATTTATAATGTCTTCCGAATGTTAAAATTTTATGCGAAATTTATAATAATAATAATAATAATAATCAAATAATAATAATAATAATAATTAAAAAAGAATTAAAAACAACAAAAAAAAATAAAATAGAAAAAAAACAAAAAAAAACAACAAAAGACAAAAAATCAAATCAGGAATTGAAAAAAAAACCTTGATATTTCACCAACTGCTTCATTATACCTGTCAGTCATCTCCGTTGTCAATTTTCTCTCTCCCTCCACATATACATATAAACACTTGTATCTATCCAAATTCAGTCAATAGCAGAGGTGCTTGCAAGAGGCTTCAGATCTTCAATCTGATGGATGCAGCTTTGCTTGAGGGAGAAAGTAGTAGTCGATGGGGAGTCGCAGGAGGCCGGAGAGCTTATAAAAGCCGATCAGATGCCATTGCTTACGGATCGCCGTATCAGAAGGCGGCTGCTCTTGTTGATCTCGTAAGCTTCTATTTATTATTTTACACCAAAATTTGCCTGTGGCACTTGCTCTGCATTCTGGCAATCCAATTTGAGTAGAACAGTATCCTCCATATTTCCCTCGTCAGCAATTGACATAAAAAAAAAAAAACAAGTGATTTTGACTTTTGTAGGCATATAAAGCCTTGTAGGCATATAAAGCCTTATCGATTGTCTGTTAGGAGGATGTATAACATTACTAATTCAGTTATTCAATTTATGTTGTTTTTGTTGTATATAAGTACGAGGAAACTATGGCGACCATCAATTATAAGCGCTCACCAGTTTTTTTCTTCAATGCATTTATACAGAATGAAATTACAAAGTTATTTCAATTAAATTGGTCCTGATACCAAAACTACGTTGATCGCAATACCAATGATACATTGATCCTAATTGATACTTACCAAATCACCTTGATGCTGATTGGTACTTGCCAGATTACGTTGATGCTAATTTTGCTAACAAAAAGAAGGGAAAATGTCTATTAGCTTTATATAGATTTGACGTGTATGTAAAGTGTAGCGGCAAGATCTAGGTATCTCAATTCCTTCCAAAAAGTCACTAAGAGAATCTAGGGCAATAACCACAAGTTACCATTATTCGTCTGATTTTTCATAGAATAGGCATCTTTGGCATTATCTTTTTTCTACATGCCTTAAATCTACTATCTGTTAAGTTGATAACCGTTCTTTGCTATTTCCAGGCTGAAGATGGAAGTGGTCTACCAGAGGAAATCCTTGAGTCACCGAACATTGAAACTTCTGCAAAGTACTACTTCATGTACATTCGCTTTGACATCCTATGGACCCTTAATTATTTTGCGCTCATAGCTTTAAATTTCTTTGAGGTTAGTGCCACAAGGTCAATGATCACCTTCATAATGGCCTGTTTCTTTTTCTATAAACGACTTTCTGATTTTCTTAAGTCACTGTCATAGTTTTTTTCTATCACGAGTATTAATTATTCTTATGACTTGAAACTCCGCAACAGAAACCATTATGGTGTACCAGTGTTTCCGAGGTTTCTTGCAGTGACAGGGAGTACTATTATCTTGGGGAGCTTCCATACTTGAATAATGCAGAATCTCTGGCATATGAGGTCTGAATTCTGTATATTCTGTTAAAATTTACGATTATGCAACAGAAATCAGTCATGCGAACTGAATAAGAGGATAAATAAGACTTTATGTATTACTGTTCTCTCTAGCTTAATGATAACACCCCCAATTTATCATGCTCCGACCACACCTAAAACTGATAAAATTGTATATGCAGGTAATCTGAATTATTGACCTACTTTCTTATGCAGGGTGTGACCCTCATAATTCTTGTGGTGCATACTCTCTTTCCTATTTTATATGAAGGGGTTCAGCTCTACTGGCAAAGCCATGTTAATAAGCTGAAGGTACACTATTTCAAAATCTTGCACATGAAATTCACATATGAAGTTTGTTATTCTTTATAAACCAACCTAACTCTGATGTCTTGTGTTATGTGTTCAGATCATTTCACTGTTGATTCTAGTGGCTGATTTAATAGTCGATATCCTCTATCTCTCTCCAGTGGCCATCTATTCTCTTCCGTTGAGGATTGCACCTTATATTCGGGTAGTTATCTTTATCTTGAACATCAGGTATGTCATGAATACATTCAACCCCTCCAATATGATAGAATACTGATGCATTTTCATTGTTGATGAGGCTGATTTCCTTTTTGTTAACTTGATTTAGGGACTTACGAGACAGCCTTGTTATCTTATATGGAATGCTTGTCACATATCTCAATATTTTGGTATGTATTTTATTACATTATCATGAATTCATGACTACTTGTCTAATTTCCTCGATGCTAACTTTTATTTGGATTGTTATTTATTATTGCTGACGAGTTAATTTATTTCTTGAATGCAAGGCTTTATCACTTCTGTTTCTTCTGTTCTCGAGTTGGATAGCTTATGTCATCTTTGAAGACACCCAACAGGGAACTACAATCTTTGTGTCTTACTCTGCTACACTGTATCAGATGTTTGTTCTATTTACCACATCCAACAATCCAGATGTTTGGATTCCTGCCTACAAGTGAGTTACTAAATATAAGATTATATGATTCATTCTTTTAAGAAACTATTGCCAAATGTCCCCAAGTTTATGGTATTTCAGTAATGTGTTTGCCTCTTCTTTCCAGATCATCAAGATCGTCTTCTTTATTTTTCATTCTTTATGTGCTTATGGGGGTTTACTTTGTCACAAACTTGATTCTTGCTGTTGTATATGATAGCTTTAAATGTGAGGTACATATTTCTTGAATCCTTTATATTTCTTTATTTCTTAATACTGAAATTCCCATCCATGAATTACAAGCTTGCATGCCTTCTTAACTGCAGCTAGTTAAACAAGTGAGTGAGAAGGACCAAATGAGGACAAGAATATTAAAGAAAGCCTTTGATCTCATTGATGAAAAGGTGAGTATGAGTCATTAATGCTGTGAAATCTCCTCCAAGACAATCTTACCCTTCTCATGGATTTTCCTTCAAAATGAACAGGCTGTTGGCACTCTTGATAAGGAGCAATGTATCGATTTGTTTGAAGAACTTAACAAATACAGGTACAGCCTTTGTATTCAGTTGTTGAAATGATTCACAGGTCTTTTGAGCATTCTTTTGATATTAGTTCTTTGGGTCAAAAGTGCATTAATGCAACGTCTCACCACTATAAAGAACCTTTTGTTCAGGACTCTGCCAAAAATATCCAAAGAAGACTTTGAGTTGATATTTGATGCATTGGATGACAGTCGTGATTTTAAGGTAATCTTTGGTCTATAGCCTATTGTTTGAATGGTTTATAGTCTTGGCTTGTTCTTTTTATTGTTTATGGCCCACAACCCGTCTTCACTGTATATACTTCAGTATTTACCTCCAGGAATAAACATTTATCTGAATCCCAAGTTACAATAGCCTGTTAGGTTTATTAATTAAGTAGGTTTATATGGTTGGATTGTATTGGCTATTTAATGGGCTACTACATGTAATAGTCCCATGGATTTTATAATTAATAACTAAAATTAGGGTTAAATGGGAACCCTAATTCTACATGTCTATATAAACTGGTTAAGGTCCCAATATACCATATATAGTGAGGCACCATCGCCAGAGGGATGTCAAATTCACGTGAAATGATAATGAGGACAAAATGGTCATTTTACATGCATTTAACGTCCCTCTATTGACAGTGTCTGACTCATGGACCTAAAATGTTGTGAAATAGAGAAATAGGGACCAAAAAGGAAAGATTCCTTTTGGACCAAATCCGATAAAATCACTATAGCAGAAGGAAGAAAAGTGTAATTTGTTCTTCATTTATTTCTTAACTGGTGATGATGGTTGATTGTCTCAGTTTTTTTATGATTTTTTACTTGCAGATTAATGCACAAGAATTCAATGATCTCTGCAATGCAATTGCCTTAAAATTTCAACAGGAGGATACAGTAAGTTGCTTATTCTGAAATTATACCCTTATATTTTCATTTTTTCTTATTCTGACATTGTACTTCTTAATTATTACTTATTAATGCATTGTATTTTGCAAACATCTATTTAGCAATGGGGTAACCGCTTTAAAAGGTGGCAGGTTACACATTACTGTAATTAGTTAGATTTTTCAAAGTACAATGCTCTAATAAGGAATAATTTAAAAGTGAAATGATGTAATAAGGAGAAATGGAAGTACAATGGTATTATAAAAATGGAAAAGCACATTGCTATATCTTTGCATGTAGTCTTTTTTTTTCAATTTTATATGGAATAGCAGAAGATGTATCTAACTCAGCTATCTTTATGTTATGGCTTTCATTTTGCAGGAACCTTGGCTAAAGAAGTTTCCCTTCTATAATTCCTCCTTATCTGAAAGACTGAAAGACTTTGTAAAAAGTCCAAATTTTGGATATTTAGTTGCTTTTATTCTCCTCGTGAATCTAGTTGCTGTTATTACCGAAACAACGGTATGATCTAAATTCTTGACAAATAGATATATAACATAATAGCAACGTACTTTAATTGCAAAAAAAAGTATTTGATAACATGGCAATGTCCATACATTAATTTTGTATTATAGCATCCTACTTTTAATTTTTTTTCTTATTAAGACATTGTATTTTAAAAATCTACGCAATTATAGCACTTTACTTTCAACTTTTTGTTTGTGGAAAATCGAATTTTTTAAACCTAACTATAGCAGTATAAAATGCTTTATATTTGTATTGTATTGCTATAATTGGGTAGATTTCTCAAAGAACAATGATGTAATATAGAGAAATAAAAGTAGGATGCTATGATAAAGAAATCAATTAAAATACATTGCTATTTCTTGCTATTAACCCTATTCTTAATGCAATTGTTGAATCAGTTGCTTAACTGATCCCATTAATTTGGACTCTTTCTTTGACAGCTTGATATACAAAACAACTCTGGTCAGGAGTTCTGGCAGAGGGTGGAGTTTGTATTCGGTAAAGAACTCCTTATGACTACTATTACCTTATATAAGTTGAAATAAAAGTTTTAATTATAAGTAAAATTAAAAACTATTTGATTTTTATTATTGAATTTCATTCCATTTCTGCCAACCAAACGTGTGATAGATTACAATTCATATTCCATTTCCCTCGGATTTCAATTCCTTTGATAGATTCCGTTCATTCTAGTCTGAGTTGATATCAACTTCCTTATCTTTGACTGACCATTTTATCCTTCCATTTGCAACTTCCTTTAATCCTTTCTAGTCTGAGTTGATATCAAATTGGATAATGGATATTTTTCGAAGTATAATGCCCTAATAAGGAAGAAAAAAAAGATCACAAGTACAATGCTTTAACATGAAAAAAAAATTGTAAGTACAGTGTTGTAATAGGAAGAAATGGAAGTAGGATGCTATAAGTCACAAATAAATTAAAATACATTGCTATTTGTTGCACTTAACAGCAAATTGATGACTTGTTTTGCCTGCAGGGTGGCTATATGTAATCGAGATGGCTTTGAAAGTTTATACATATGGATTTGAAAACTACTGGAAGGATAGTCAAAACCGATTTGACTTCATTGTCACATGGGTCATAGGTACATTTAACCTTTTATATAATGTCCATGCCTGTATCTCTTCTAAATATGTTCTTTGGTGCTTAAATTCATAACATTGTGTATATGATGTGTTTAATTTCTTTAATTTGATGATTGTATTCCATTCATGGACTCTTGCAGTTATTGGAGAAACAGCAACATTCGTATCTCCAAAGGAGTTCACATTTATTTCAAATGGGGAGTGGTAAGTCTGTAAATTATCATTACTATTATTATATAAATATTTATACCAATCAAGCTTTCAAAAATCAATATATTTAATTATTTATTATTTGCAGGATTCGTTATCTTCTGATCGCAAGAATGTTGAGATTGATTAGGCTGTTGATGCATGTAAAAAGATACCGGGCCTTTATTGCTACATTTTTAACCCTGATACCAAGTTTGATGCCATACCTGGGTACTGTCTTTTGTGTCATGTGCATTTACTGTACAGTTGGTATACAGGTACTTCAAATTTAATCTTTATACTGCAATGTATTTATTATTTAAGTAGGCCTAAATGCAAGAAATATCAGTGTACTTTCATTTATTTGTGTATTGTTGCTTCCTACTTTTTTTTTCTACTACAACATTACACTTTGCACTTCACTTTCAAAAATCTACCGAATTATAACACTCTACTTTCAATTTCTTTTATACACTTTGAAATATCTACCCAATTAAAGCAGTAGATATTCCTTTGTATTTCGGTGACATTGCTATTATTGGGTAGATATTTTGAAGTGGAAAGCTGTAATAGGAAGGAATGAAAGTAGGATGCTATACATTTCTATTTCTTGCACTTAATCCATATAATTAGTTGAATAAATATATCTGTAATCATTGCAGCTTACTTTTTTCCTTATGTTGTCTAGATCTTCGGTGGATTAGTCAATGCTGGGAACCCAGATTTACCAAGTACAGATCTTGCTGATAACGAGTATCCTACATGAATCATTTGCTACAATGCTTTATTTATTATTCACTATCACTCACCACTTTTCATCTAATAGCATATTATATTATTATACCTACAAACAAATATGTTATCTTAGATTATGAGATCAAGAAGAATATAAAATAGCATTTCACGGGGTCAGCGGTTTTCGCCCAAACACAAAATCAATTTGTTATTTAATTTGTTGGTAAATTTCCCTTGACTTAATCAGTTACTTGTTATTTAATTTTAATGACTACCCGAATGGTATGGTGAGTCTCTTCAATTTGCTTGTGTTGGGAAATTGGCAAGCTTGGATGCAGGTATTATGATCATTTCATGATACTACTTGTTTTACAATTATGTGGTAATAGACATACTCATGCGTAGGTCAAATAATCATCAAAAATCATGATGTGATATATTAAGTTAAACGTTTGTTATAGGCCGAATGCAAGAAATAGCAACACACTTTCATTTATTTCTTAATTATAGCATCCTACTTTTATTTCTTTCTATCATAACAATGTCTTCTTATTTAGGCGTTGTACTTTAAAATTTCAACCCAATATAGCATTGTACTTTCAGTTTGTTTTAGGTTAGGACATTATTATATTTTGAAAAATCTACTCTCAGTTATAGGATAGCAGTGAAAATAGATTTGTATTTAGATAATTTTTCAATAATTGAATGGATTTTTTACAATGCTATAATAGGAAGAAATTAGAGTAGGGTGATATGATAAACATATCAATGGAACATTCCTATTTTTTTTGTATTTATTAATCCTTTTATAGATGGCTATGGTTGAATCATGCATGAGTCAACTTTTTATTGAACTATTTTCAGAGTTATGTAATATTGACGGGAACTGCTTGGACCTATGTGTACTTCATCAGCTACTATCTAATAACTATTCTGCTCCTCCTCAACTTGGTGAGTCTTACTGATTAGTATTCAAATCCCTCACATCCTTATTATTATTATCAAATATCAAATTTACTATATATCCACCATAAGCTTATTCTTTTTGAACCATTGATTGAAATATCAATGTACCTCCATATATTTGTTTTCATATTCAATAATATTATGCTCAAGTTTAAAATATTTTGATTGCACTCATGTAAAATTCTGAATTATTTGCAGATCGTCGCATTTGTGTTGGAGGCATTCTTTGCTGAGTTAGAACTTGAGTGTCCTGAGGATGAAGACGAAGATGGGAAGGTTAGTAAAATTTATGTTACCCTAAACAATTTATTTTTTTGAAAAAATAAGGGAAATTTTGTAAAAAGTTAAGTGGAAATCCTCCTTTCACTGACTTTGTCTATTAAGTTGTTCTTTTTGCAATAAGTCAAAAAGAAACACCCATGTATGGCATGACAAGGAAATGGAATGAGTCATTACATCCATGATCATGTTTTGCTGGTTTGTAAGAATGGAATGGAATGAAATTTAATATGATTCTTTTATTCTATAGTCTGTACATATAGTTTTAAGTCTATTCTAAAAATTATTTTAATTACAATCCATAAAACTCTCATTTACAAAAACCAACACTTAAGTATTATAGAAACTCATTAAAACGCAATCAAATTAAAATAAAAATAATATTTTTTTCATTATATAAAAAAAAGAAATTCTAGGTTCAGTTGAAATAATAATTAAAAAAAATCTTTATTTGCGTCATTAAACATTACATAAATAATTATTGTTATACAGCAATATTCCATTCCAACACACAAAGAAATGAAGATTAATTAAATGGAAAGGGATTTGTATTTTATATGATTTGGTGAATTAATTTTTACATGTAAATCCATGCAGGAAACCGGAGGAAGGGGACGCCGTAACTTGGGGTAAGTAAATGCAATAAATAACAAAATATTTTCATTTAATTGTGTATTATATATATAGCATCTTACTTTTATTTGATTCTATTATTTATAGCATACATTACAATTACGATAAGTAGATCGGTATATGTTAGTAAATAAAATTTAAATTTGTGTGTGTGTGTGACTGACAGCACAAAGACACGGAGTCAGAGAGTTGAAATGCTACTTCACCACATGCTGAGCGCGGAGCTCCATGAAGGATTACCGACTTCGGATCCATAAGTGTGTCAGGTAATTTACACATTTCTCACTTTCCTCACTTCCACTTCCCCTTTTCCCTTGAGAGTTCAACTTCCATATATATAAGCAAGCATATCTTCTATATGTATATATCTAGAAAATAAATATATTAGATATTCATGTTATTTGTGATATTTGATTACAGTTACAGATGGATGGAGATGACAGGAAGTTAGGATTTCCTTATATATATATATATATATATATATATATATACTTGAGAGTTGTGACAGGTTGTACTAGTGTGTATAATTATATTATATGAATGAACATATCCAATTACTTCGTGAAGTCAACAGCATCAGCATTCAGCAGACGCCCATCACGATAGATGATTAATTATTTTTGGTTAAATTCATAGTATTTGACTATTAATACGTGGATTGACTTTTAGTAAACTTGTAAAAATAAGCAAAATCCCCTGTCAGTTGTTGTATTTATTATAGCCAGTCACCGTGTTTTAGCTAATAACTATATCTATTTTTATCTACGGAAAGTTTTATGTTTTTTGCAAGTGGGCCATCAAAGTTGTTTTCGGTTTCATTATATTTTTTGTCAATCTATGCTTAGGGGTGTAATCGAGAGTCAATCGCACCGCCAAGCTCGAAACTCAACTCGAACTTAATTTCAAGCTCGAGCTTGAACTCGATAAAGTAATTGACACTTTCGATTAACTACTAAGGAAATAAAACTACATTAAAAATTACAATAGAAATGTGATTAAGCTTATGAGCTTGATTCGACTCGGCTCTATAATACATAAATATGAATAAAACAAAAGGTAAATGTGTAAATATAACAATGCTCGATTAAGCTCACGAGTCAAGTATTCCAATAATGCTCAAGCCCTGCTTGATAATGTATTCGAGTAGCTCAAGCTCAAGCTTGAGTCGACTTGAGCCAAGTCGGTCTCAAGTATCTCATGAGTTGGCTCGACTCAGTTGGTGCAACAAAACAAAACAAAGTGGATTTTATACAAAAATATGTAACCAAGTTTCATTTTAGGACCAAAAGAAGCAAGCAATGACTATGTTTTACACCCGTAGCTTGGTTTGGATTAAATTGGGAAAATGTTAAATATTGTTGTATAAGTTGGTAAACAAAATAAAACAACAGTATTTTGCTGCATAGATTGGTAACAAAAAAAAAAAAAAAGGTGAAACGTTGTTGCTACGCATTGCATTGTATTTATGGAATCAAACATATTTTGGTCAAAGGTGGGTGGTTCCATATTTCATCTAAAATATCCGTTTCCGTTGTTGCATAAAACAGGAAAAGCTGTTGAATTTTTGCATAAATGCATGCATATTTAAGCAGATTATAACATAGATATTTGAATGGCACTAGTCGCACGATTATAAAATTGTGAGCATCTTGTTTTTGACATACTCCTTGGCTTGCGTAAACGAGCAACCTTATGTTCAACTTTGGGATTAGTTTCAAATGTTGATGATTGTGTAGGATTCCAATACACCTTTTCAGGCCTAAAAAATAGATAGGATTAGTTTCAAATGTTGATGATTGTGTGGTGGGCAAATACTTTAATGACAAATCCTATATTAGTTTTTTGAGTTGGTCCAAATTTATTTAGACACAACATGAAATGATATATAATATAATATAATATAATATATGAGAGACAGCGGATTGGTCATTGGAATTAGGAAGCAAGCAAAGAAGCAAAAGAGTAGTAGTTATTGGGTTAAAAAAACAGGAGATTTGAGGAGACATATTTACTGTGTCATCATCTAGTAGTAGGGTTTAGAGATAAGCAGAGATATAAGTAAGTAAGTGTGTGTGATCTAAAAATGTAAGAAGTTATTTATATGAGATCACATCTCATTCCGAAAAGAGCATGAGCAGCTAATATAATAATATTGTTTCCCCTGGAACTGGAAGGATTAAGGAATCAAAGAGGAGGTAGTGGTAGGTACTGGTCACAACCGGTGGCCCCATATCTAGTGAAATTTGAAACAAGACCATTCAACATTTTAGCAACCGCTGCCTTGAACGACTTTGATCCTCCTTCACCTATCAAACCACTCCCACCCACTGGAACACCCTCCATATACCCTCTGCATGCTGACAAGATAGCATGTGCACGCGTACGGAAATGACCCGCAACAAGCTCCTCAAAATGCTGCAAAAATATCAAATATCAAATATCAAAATACATTCATGGAAATACCTACCATCAACCAACTAACAGACGTACATATCATAGAATACCTTTGGGGGTCTCCTGAGTGTATACATCATTGTTTTCAATGATAAAATGAAGATTTCTTCATTATAGGTCCTGGATTTCTTCTCTCCTTCAGCTCCAGTATACATGTTATCATACCCAGGCTCATTGAAAAAAGGGTTTGCATTCAGAATGAGTGCTTGTATAGACACCAACACCTGCAGCATCGTTGACTTTTTTGGCATCCACTTCTCGTTCCCTTTCCCAGTCCACGTGTTCAAAAGGCTCAGACACACTTTCCCACAATCATACAGGTTTGGATTCAGCCGCAGCCCACCAGAGTAGTAATAAACCATCTGTCAAAACCATTACTTAAGTTACTTACTTCATTCTTAGGGGTATTTTCGTCTTTTTTTTTTTTTTTTTTTTTTTTTTTTGCACCAACAACAAATGTACCTACCGGGGGTATGTCTGGATAGTTGGGAGGAAAATGAACATCAAAGACAAAGAGACCGTCATGGTAGGGCGTGCCTGCGGGTCCTATCATCACAGCCCTTAAAAGGTCCATCCTTGTTTCATATGCCCGAACAAATATACTATCTATATTAAAAAAACAATCTATACATTATTTACTTATAACCAATCACCTTTTATACATAATAAAACATCACTATTTACAAAACAAATACAACTATAATAAAACCACAACACTCACCAGGTAAGTCTTTCTCTAGTATTTTCCATTCGTCCTGGATCTTCTTTGTCCAACTCTTGGGAGGCTACCACAAATATCAACATCATTTCAAAAAAAAGAAAAAAAATTAATCCAAGTGAAGTGACAAACAATTCAACATGATAGAAAGATGTGTATTCATCATCTCCAAACTTTTCAATTTTACAAATTCTTCTTTTGCAATGACATTATCACCAAACTTGGTCCAAATACAATATAGTATCTATAAGGACGAATTACAGAAAAGCCATTACATTTTCACTGAATTACCTGAATACATTTATATATTAAAAAAATACTTAAAAGTATGATTAAATTGAACTATATGATAACTTACAAAATGTATATTTTAACTTTTTATTTTTAAACAATAGTAACACTATATTATTTCCATTTCCATTTATTATTAAAGTGTAAAGGATAAATGTAAAACTACACAACTTGGGTACAGAGTTACTATTTAAGGGTTTGCTTTATTTTATTGAAACAAGTTAAAAACTTTATTATTATTTTATTATAAATCCCCATAACTATTTAGTTAATTAAATAACAAAATTATAAATGTTAATATGTGAATCAGTATTATAAATTATAAATGATTAAGATAGGTATAATAAAAGTAAACAAAAATGCAAGACATAGCAACGTATGTTCATCTATTTGTGTATTATATAGCATCCTACATCCAATTCTTTCTATTACAACATTGTAATTTCAACTTTTTTTTTCTTATTAAGACATTGTACTTTGAAAAATCAACCCAATTATCGCATTCTACTTCCATTTTTTTCTCTTATTAGGACATTGTACATTGAAAAATCAACCAAATTATAGCAGTGAAAATTGCTTTGTATTGGAAATATGTAGCTATAATTGGGTGGAGTTTTCAAAGTGTAATGCTATAATAGGAACAAATGAAGCTAGACACTGCTATAATATAATAAACAACAAAACAAAGTTGATGATAAATTGCAATTGAATTGATGGAGATTGATTACCTGTTGTCCTTGAAAGCCAGCAGAATTGAAGTGATGATCAGAAAAATCATTAACAATATCAAACAATTTAAATTCTTCAAACTTTTTCATGGATTCCACTTCCACCACCTCTTCCTTCTTCTCCACAGATCCTGAAACAGCTTCTTGAACAACAGTTGAACTGCTACTAGCAACACCCTTACCTTTGCTGATGCTAATTTCTTGTATTTTTTGAGGATCCATGGCGGCTGTATAGCTCGCGCCACCTGTCACACTTGTGCTAGGGACAGGATCCTTCAACCAGGAGAAAGATGCTTCCACGCCAGGTGGCAAATCAACATTATCAAATTGAGCTTGCATGCTCAAATAATGAGCCTCTTCATCTTCTTCTTCCTCTTCTATGTTTTCAAACATATAATCCCCATCATCATCATAATCAAAGGCATCATCTTCTTCTTCTTCTTCTTCATCAACCATGTCATCTCCCTCATTGTCATCATCATGGTATGATGTATCTGAATTGATGTTTCCTGAGCTTAGTGATACAGATGATCCACCTTCACTAGTAGGATTCAAGACTTCCTGTTAAAGAATAACAAAGTTTTATCTATAATATACAAATAAATGCAAATTAAAAATCACTTTTTTTTTCAATAAAAATATTTGTCATAAAAGATTACAGAATTAAAAATCGGTTATATTGCAATTTTTCATTCCATCCTATAATGGAATGAAAATTAATAGCCCATTCTGAGAATGAAACAGGTATCTTTTTTCCAATAGAATGAACCATTCAAGTCATTCCCAAATTCATCATACAAAGCACTACATTGAAGTTCAATCATACATTTTATCTTAGTTTGAACAAAAGAATATCGCTGTGATGATCAATAAAAGTATCAAATCCTTATGATTACACTACAATTTACTCACAAAAGTAAACTGCAAATAAAATGCAATAATAATTAAATATAGGCTTATACTGAACAGATAGTGATGTATTACTTCCTACCTCTACGATCTATGATGTTTAAAAGCTAAAACATTCATCGCCAATCTCTATGTTTCTTTATCATCTTACCTTGCTCACTGCATAAAGCCCCAATGTATTACTACCAAAAGTTTCACCTTGTTCACATAATGCAATAGTAGTGCTCAACAACTAAATGCCAAAGAAATAGGCTGATTTTCCCTAAGACTAATATCTATAGAGTCAAAACAGATGACTCATACCTATATTAAAAGGTATGATTTGACATTATACCCAAAGAAACCACGATCTTTTCTCTCTTTAATGGGTCTTCATTGTAGCAATTCAAAATAGAAAAGGGGAATAAAGAACCAAAAGCAAATCAAAATAGATCAAAATCTCAAAACTTTTTTCACAGATCCTAGTTACAGTTGGAAACAGATTCTATTATCACATGAGCATATTTGCATAAAATTTAAATTAAAAAATAATAATTGTCCCCTCATGTTCATGATCCACCCCACACACACACACAAAATAGAAAGAAACCTAAGCCAACGATTAGAGAGTAAGCGAGATGAATACGAAAAATTAAGGAAAACAAGATAAAATTCAACAAATCATGCAGA